TTTTTTTTGTTATTGTAATTTTATTTGCTTGGGAAATTAGTAGTGAACAATTCGCATCTGTGCAATAATTGAAAAATCAGACATTTTTACCGACTTCACACCTATTTCGGTGCTTATACAGAGAGAGAGGCAAATAATATGCGATACTTATATGAATAATTGTTAATAACTATAATGCATTGTGGGTTGGTATATATAATATTATATATACTTATATGTATATATATATGTATAGCTCTCTTTGATTGGTTTGACACTCAGCTTATTAACAGAAAAAACTCAAACAAGTTCTAAATTGAAAGGTAATATTCTTAAGCTGAGCACACAGTGAATCGCTGGGTAGAATAACGGTATTAATCATGTGCATCGAAGTTAGAAAGCTGATTTTAAGCGTCATAACATAAGACTGCAGTCGTTCAGCGCATACTATTCTTGTTTGTTCAGCAATCTTGACTTTTTACCACACTATGTGCTTAGTCTTAGGTTCCAAGGCGCTTTAAAAAAAAAAACTTATTGGCAGAAAAACTGAAAGAAGTTCAAAATTTCAAATAAAATATTATTGGGTGTACATTTGTATTATGCAGTTATTCAGCATAATAAATTCTTATTTGTTCAGCAGTTTTGACTTTTTACTTCACTATGTACTCAGCCTTATGTTCTAAAGCTCAGCATAGTGCAATATTTTTAATTTTGCTGTTTGCCGCAACTTTGTACTTTCTTTGTAATATTTGAACGTTTATCTTACTAATAAAGTGAAAAAGTAAGCACTTTCAGTTGAATTGAAATTTACTTCCCGCTATTTACCCAACCACTTGAGAGCTTTATGGCCTCTCGATTGCGCCACTCCTGTGCTATAATGATAATTTTCCAATAATAACACCCTTTTTTTGTATTTCTGTCACTCTCTGCTATCAATTAAAGTTATTGTCATTTAAGTGTTTAAGTTTTCAACTCGAAGAGATATACATAGAGTTCTATGCTTGAGCCATATTGTGCTGCCAAGCTTATCGCCTTCAATCGCCTAAGCAAAAGTGTGATTGATCGCCAGCAAAAGTTTGGTCTTTCTGAGTGTCTGTTTTCAAAAATAAAATAAATTGTTTGGTTTTTTTTCTTGTATTTGTCATCTCAAGTCAGGAAGGAATGTTTGGCATTTTGGATTTTCACATTGTTGTTATTATCGCCAACAAACACTTTTAATGGCTGTGACGTGTTTGAAAAATGGTATTTTCTAAAGTTGTTGTTTGGTATTGTTGGTGTATGTGCGTTTGTTTGTATGCATTTGGGCTACAACATGACTAACGGCTTTGGAAAAATCACAGTTGGCCAACAAAAGTGGCAGCTAAACAAACTTGATCGACACGATTTCGCATAAAGACCAATAATGAAATTGAGATGAAATCAAAAACGTGCTGCAGTTGTGCTCAATGGTTTATATGTATATATGAATGTATGTATTTTTCAATTTAATGGCTGAGTCACCAAATGATTTGTTGTTTGTTTTTTGTTGTTTTGCAAAACTAATCTGTGAGAATTCAATGAGTATTAGACAGGTTTTAATGCTTATCGGGCCTTCTTGCCTCTGCGGTATTTGTGTAGATAATGAAAAGTGAAATGGCACAGATAGCAACAATACAATATGTGCATAAGTAAGATGCAGGGTTGCCATGTGCATATGTTAAGAATAATAAGAATTTTCGAAGCAGTATATAATATAAAAGTATATTCTCATAAGAATCATATCCACAAATTTTTACAGAGTTGCCAGGTATTTATAATATTAAAGAATTGTGCTGAAATAAATATGTACTTCACAAAATCTAAAAATAATTTATTTTAATATTTAGAAAATAAATATTATATTTTTTAAAAATCTGATAACAAACTTTTACTAGGGTTACCAACCGTTATAAATGAATTAAACTCACCAAAAAACAGCTTGCAAAGTTATATATGAATCGTAATATGTTTAAACATTTTCGTTCGTATTGTATTTTAGGGTTGCCACATATTTTTTTATATCTTAGTATTTTTGTTTAGTATTTAAGAAAAACAAAAATAATTTTTTTGAAATGTGTTAAAAAATCTTAAGATAATGCCTTTTTTTTCAAACTAAATTTTACAAACAATTAAAAAAAATTATCTTTCAAAAATATTACTCAACATTTTTTTAACAAGTTTACCCACCATTATTATCAAATTAACTATACCGAAAAATAACTTTCAAGGTTTGCTTGAATCGTAAAATTTTGAAATTTTATCGTATGTCAAATTTCAGGGTTGCCAACCACTTTAAAAATATTTTATTTATTTTTTATATAGTTTTTTTAACTTGTTTTATTTTTAACGTTTATAAATCAGCAAAATTTAGAAAAAAAATTTATTCAAAATTACGCAGAGTTGCCACGTATTTATAATTTGAAAAAACTTCTTAGAAACTGCTTCTTTGCAATAAATTATATGCTTAATTTTTTTATAGAAAACTAGAGAAAAAAATTCATATTGAAAAATGTATTTAAAATTACGCAAAGAGCAAAATAGATTTTGATGTATTAAATTGTTTTTAACGAAACGCATGCTTTTTTATAATTTATATTTTTGAATAATTAAATAAGTAAATGTATATTTTTTTTAATTTTAAATCTGAATTATTGAATATTTGAATAAAAAATATACCAAGGAGTAAAATTAAAGCGTATAAAAATTTTTAAAATATAAATTTAATAAAAACCATTTTTAAAATGGCAAAAATATAAAATAATTAGAAAATATTATTTAGGATTAGGGTTGTCCCTTACTTTTTAGTTTATTTTATTTTTCTCTTAATGCTGATTATTATCTTATGTAGCTGGAAATATAAAAAAATTTAATTAGTAGAAAATTAAAATATATAAAAAAGTTTTAAAAATCAAAATGATATAGAATTATCCTACCTAATAGTGCATTATACTTGGGTTCCGAAGAATTTCGATTTTTCAAAAAATTTTAAAGCGGCAATGGTTGCTAATTCAGCATTAAGCATATGCGATAGGGTTGCCAATAATTTTGTATTTTAATGTATTTTTTAACTTTGGTTTTACATTTTTTTTAAATTCGATTATAAAAAAACACACAAACGAAATCAAATTTATTGCCACTTATTGTGAATAATATATTTTTAAACTTTACTTTTTTTTAACCTAAAAAAATTCTCAGTCGAAGTCAAATAGATTACAAATATCTTAATTTATAAAAAACATATGTTAGGGTTGCCACTTAATACGAGTAACACTTATATTTTTTTAACATTGTTTTATTTTAGATATTTATTTAGTTTGAATATAAGGAAATGTATAGAAGAGCTCTGACGAAATTAAATAGTTTACAGATAAATTTATTTGGAAAAAATTTGTTAGGGTTGCCAGTTATGGCGAGTAATATACTTTTTTTCACTTTAAAACCTTTTTTATTTTAGTTTATAGAAATACTCATGCGAAACCAAATAGATTACAAAGATTTTGATTTCGAAAAATATGTATGTTAGAGTTGCCACTAACTGCGAGTATTATATTTTCTAATTTTACTTTACAATCTTTTATGATTTGAGTAAAAAAAATATTTAGACGAAATCAAACAGATTACGGAGATTTTTATTTTAAAAAAATATGTTAGCGTTGCTACTTAGTGCGAATAATTATTTCAAAAAATTTATTTACTAAAAATTTGTTTAAATTTGTATGTAAAGAAATACTCACACGACATCAAATAGCATACAGCGCTCTTAAGTTCGAAAAAAGTATGTTAGGGTTGCCATTTACTGCGAGTATAATAATTTTTTATCCTAACTTTGCTCGATTTCAACAAATATTTCTACTTATATGTAAAGAAAGAGTAATTGCAAAAATTTTAATATTTTTGCATTTCTAAGAAAGGAATACAACCTTGCTTTTGTGTCGCGTCGCAGCGTAAAAATTTTCAAATATATTTAAAAAATTTTAAATAACCATTTTTATAAACAGTTTTAGCCTACAAGAACAACCCACACACACAAGAAAAAAATACGGCCAAAAAGGCAACGAACACACCAACAACAACACGCTTAATTAATATTACTCAATAACTTATGGACAATCAATTAATGGCAATTTAATAAAACCATAAGCGGCGGCTAATTGCAAAAAACATCGTTAAAAGAAGAAGAAGCAGCAGAGGAAGCAAAAACACAGAGACACACATTCACATATAATTTTTCAAGTAAAAGTAAAGAAATGTGCAACAATTTGTGATACGAAGGTGTGAGCGAAGCATCTTTATCAGCAATAATAACACGAAAAAGATTTCACACACTCAAGCAACAACAACAATTACAACAGCGACGCATGCGAACAGCGTTGAAGAAATTTCAAAAAATAACGGTCAAGCGTGTGTTTGCAACCCCCGAGCGAGTACGCATAGCTTTTTGAGCTCAGTGAACAAGTGAGCACGTCAAGGCGGAAAGGACAGCAGTCGGCAGGGAACGAAGAAACCAGGAAGGAAGGAAGGAAGGAAGTACGACAGCCAGCAAACACAGTCGACAGTCGAAAAGCAGTCGCGGCAGACAGCGCACAATTTAATTTCACTATGGGAAATTCATCGTCACACACACACGAACCACTGGAGCGCGGCTTCACACGCGGAAAATTTGGTGATGTCAAAAATGGGGTAGGTTTTATATACAAATGTATTTATATATAGGCACAGACGTCAGTTTAACCAGAGCTGTAAGTAAAAAAAAAAATAATAATAATAAACAATAGAATGCGTTTAACGCGGTCAAAGGCGCTACAGCGTCGAACCCCGTACGCCAAGCGCTGAGCGCTTTAAATTCAACGGTAGTCTAGCACTTGTTTCACACGATCGCGTCGCTTTTGTTACCTTACATATATTATTTCTTTGTCTACAAAATATATTTGAATATGCAACACATACTAATATCCTTTCCCCCTTCTCTCTTTCTTACTCACGTTCATTTTCGTACGCTTTAGAAATCCGCATCATTTCGCTTTAGCAAGAAATCACCAAAGAAAATGGATCGTTTGCGTCGATCCTTTCGCGATTCGTTTCGTCGTCGGAAGGACCGTGTGCCCGAATCATCGAAACCGCATCAATGGCAGGCTGACGAGGAGGCTGTACGTTCGGCGACCTGTTCGTTTGCGGTTAAATATTTGGGTTGCGTTGAGGTATTCGAATCGCGCGGTATGCAAGTTTGCGAGGAGGCCCTAAAAGTATTGAGGGTAAGTAAATACTTTTATACATACTATATACATATGTATAAATTAGAATTTGTGTGAAAAAATGCGCATTGAGTGTTAGCGCATTTGTCAGTTGAGTGCGCTGTGGGAAGCTGAGGAATCTTTAAATGCGCCGGAACAATTTTTGGATAGAAATAAAGGCAAACCCAGTTTTTGTTGTTGTTGTACTAATAAAGTGCCATAATTTCTTCGGAGAGCTCATCAGTGTTATCTTTAGAAGTTTGGATTTTAAACTCCATCAGACTCCATTCTTGTCGTTGAACTGGATTCGACGATAAGTTCGGCCTTTATCTGAGCTCGTAATACGATACTTACAAAAATACCGCAGTATATGCTCTCGTCTTCAGCCTGCACGTCATCGAATATTCCAGGCAGCACCCAACAGCTTGAAAAATATTTCGCCGATCAAAGACTTGAACAGACTCCATTTTTTCCTTGAATTGAATTCGACGACAAGTTCGGCCTTTATCTGATGTCGTAAAATTAAAAAATATCGAAAGATAGCGGTGCCATATTCAACACCTGCTAGCTTTTAAAAGGTTCGGCCTCGCAGACAGCTATAACACTTTCAAATCTCAGATCTCTACTAAAGAATAGTTTTTTTTCTAGACTCCATTCATTGTATTAGATTCGATAACAACTTTGACCTTTATCTAAGGGCGTAATACGCGACTAACAGGCAGTATATCTTATATTAGGTGCCGACTCTCAGGTGGCTATAACATTTTCAAAGTGCAGAGTAAATTTTAGATTCATAAACCTTACAAGAAACTAGGATCCTTAAGGCGTTAGTCTTCCATTCAGCTAAAATAAACTAAATTCAGCTCATCAAGCTCAAATCAGGACTGAAGATCGAATACAACTTCAGAGCTTTTCAAGCTATAGGCATATTGTATTTTGATTGGTATGCCGACAATACTTCTGAAATCTGTAGGAGTTCTGTAAAAAAGCCTTTAAGGCACAACATGATGGATAGATTCTCATTATTTTCAAACATAATAAAGAGTTAACGAAACTGTAATAGTTCCAAACAACAGATTTTGGGTTCTTGCTTTCGATGCTTCAACGAATTTATGCGGGGATGCTGTCCAAATGAATTATAAACCTTGACAAGTCAAGACAGGATAACAATTTCCGTATCGCTGAAATCAGATAAGATGAGATGAGAGCCATTCAAATCCATAAGGCTTCTCGAAATTTGTCCTAGAGAAAATCCAGCTCATAAGGCCTCTGAGTCTATCACAAACTTTAAAATTCATAAGAACCTACTCAGCAGGTGCTCTAAATTCAGAAAGAGGCTTGACTAAGCAATGAAGATTAAAGACGCTGATCCATATGTGATTCCCTAATATTTAGTTTATAAATATTTCTCTGAAAAACTAAAGTGTTTAAGCCCGATTTTAAATTGTGGGCGTTTATTTGTGACTCATCAATCAAACTAAAGGATTGTAGCAAAATAATCATCATTCTGTACTTTCGTATGGTCTCACAAACTACCAACCGCATACTTGCAACATCTGACAGCTGACAAATGTGGGCGTAGACTACGCACTTAACACACAACCACTAAACTACAGTTTTGCTAATCGCTTCACTTTTTTATTACAGAATTCGCGCCGCCGACCCATACGTGGTGTGCTGCACGTTAGCGGCGATGGACTGCGCGTTGTGGACGATGAGACGAAGGGCCTCATTGTCGATCAGACTATCGAGAAAGTGAGCTTCTGTGCGCCAGATCGTAACCACGAGCGCGGTTTCAGTTACATTTGTCGCGATGGCACAACACGGCGTTGGATGTGTCACGGATTTCTAGCATGCAAAGAGCTCGGCGAGCGGCTCTCACATGCCGTCGGTTGTGCATTTGCCGTCTGTTTGGAACGTAAACAGCGACGCGACAAAGAATGTGGCGTCACAATGACATTCGATGTGAAGAATTCGACATTTACGCGTACGGGTTCGTTCCGTCAGCAAACGTTGACTGAACGTTTGGCACAAGGTGAGACACCATCCGCTGCAGTGCCACCACAGCCCAAACCATACAATCCGTTCGCTATTGAACGGCCACATGCCACACCATCGATGTTGGAGCGTCAGGGCTCGTTTCGTGCATTCAGCACCATTGGCAGTCAATCGCCGTTCAAACGGCAGATGTCATTACGCATCAACGATCTTCCGTCCAATACCGAACGGCAGAAGGCATTTATGGCAGCTGCCACCGGTGGTGGTTCCCTCGCCGCAGCGTTAGCTACACCCAATCGTAGTGTTTCACCAATACCAGAGATCTCACCAGCTAAAATGGGCATTTCAGATATGGATAATGGCTGTGCCACCATTGACACCGTTAGCCAGTTATGTCAAGAGCTCAGTCAGGGTCTATCGTTGCTCAGTCAAACCGATGCAATGATTGCGGCTGGCGATGATCTCAATTTCAATAACAATTTGAGCATTAATCAGAATATCATTGCCGCTGAGAAGACGCAGCAGCAACAACAACAGAAGGGAATCTCTACACCAACATCATTGCCGTTAGCTAGCAGTAGCAGTCATAGCATTACCGCTGCTGTTGCTACCAGCAGAGTTTACGAATATGCTGAGGGTGCAGTGAGCAATAATTCGATTGTTGGTGGTGCGGTCACCACCACCACACCAACAGCACAAATAGCGCCACGCATTTCGTCGGTATCGCCAGTAGCTACCAATTCGCCAGTACGTACACCAACAACACCAACGTTAACAATAACACCACCGCCACCATTGCCAGCTGGTCGCCCCGTGGAGATGGTCGCACCACTGCCCAATGCGGATCAATGGCTCGGCGAAGTGGTGAAGAAGACATCACCGGCAGTTATTAAACGTGCAACACGTATGCTCAACTCAACCGGTCGTACGCAATCGATGAGCGCTGCATCACCATTGGGTGTGGATCCATTCGATGCCGAGTGGGTGGCCGGCGTCACAAAGCCACTGTCACCCGATCTACCCGTGGCAGCCACAACGCCAGTGGCGTCTGCAGTTACGCCTGTCGCTAGCAGTACAGCTGCACCAATACACCACAGTACCAATCCATTTATATCACCGCCGAAGGTACCGGCGCAAACATTCCAGGTGCAGCTGTAGATGCAGTAGACGAGGTGTACAAGCCTCGTGCTAGTAGTTGATGATATCAGTGAGGTAGCACATGTGTTCGATTTGTGTAATTCATGGAGTAGATTAGCAACTCATATAATGTTAGGTGTGCAGCGAGATTGCAAAAATGACATGGGGCTCTAGAGAAATGATGTTGTTAAAGCAAAATGAGAGTGAGCGGACTAACAAATGTAAAGAAAATGTGTAAATGGAATTGCATGCACTGCCAAGAATTTTTTTATGCAAAAATAGTAATTCATCTTTTTTAAACTTCAGATTTAGTGCTGAACTACTTTAAATGTAGCTAGTTATTTTTGGATCAGTTCCTAAATTTTGAGTGAATATTAGAATTTCCTGTGTAAATACACTGTATGATAAAATAGATTCAAATTTAAGAAAATTACACTAGTTACTTTTGGACCAGTTTCGTAAATTTTAACGAACTTCCAAAATAATTTTAAGTTTTTTAAAAAGACGCGTGTTTTAAATGCAGAGCTAAAATATTTTGCTAATATTTATTTCATTTCACTCATTGTGAATATTATTTTTGCTAATTGTAAATATTATAAATTTAATATTTAGTTTTATAATAAATTTTACCAATTAATTAATTTATATGAATTAATATTCACTAATTGCAAATGATTGTAAATAACATGCAATAATATTTTGCTGTCAATGTAATTTTTGTGAATTAAGACATTCCCTAATATTCTATAAATGCACTAAAAGCGAACTGGCTGCTTTTGAACTACATATATAACTAGTATTCATTGAAATATTATATAAATGAATTGACGTTGCGTAATATGTAAAAATTGATATTAAGTTACACAGTGTTGACTAGGTATTTTTTGACTGGTTCGAGAACTAGTTTTTTAACTGCTGATAAATTATTTTTTGTTTAATTTTGATTACAAAACACGAATTAATTTTGTTAAGTTTTTCCAAAAATAATTAATATTTTAAAATACTTGTTGGCTAGTGAAATATGTGGTGTTTACTCTTGAAGCAAATCGTGTACTTAGCATATAAACGCAATTCTAATAATATTTTTTAGTTTCCTTGGAGAATATACAAATAATTACATATATACAAATATACTTGTATATGTGTATATACATGTAAATTTATTTCAATATAACAAACCCTTTGAAAACCTAGTAGTTCATTTGCTACTAGTTCGTATTTTCAAGTGTTGAATATATTCTAATATCGAAAAAAAAAACAGTTCAATATAAAAAGTTTATAATTTCCTACAACGTTAACTAAAAAAAATTAACGAGTTACTTTTGAACCAGTTATGTTACTAGTTACTTTCAGAATTATATTTTAATTTTTTTCAGTGTATGCAATTCTAAACTAATAAAAAGGCAGGTTTGCTATTTAAACTCAAATTTTTGTAAGCACCATCAGTAGAGCACCCAAAACAGAAACATAAAGTTATCTATGTAAATTACATATTTGAGTTGCTATAAATGTTACTGCAGATTAGATGAAGAGATAAACAATGTTATTATATTATCTACTGCTAAATTATTAATGTTATATGTACTTAAATAGTTTATAAATGAATTAACACTTAATCGATGAACAGCTGAAACAGAATTACTTAAAGTAATGGGCGAAACAGAGAACACACACTTACATAATTATAAAAAAAAATCATATAATTATAAAAAAATTATATAATTACCCAAAAATATGTAATTATGTCAAAAATATATATAATTATATGAAAAATATAAATAATTATATGAAAAATAAAAAAGATGCAAAAAATTAATGAAAAAATGCAAGAAACAAATAAAAAATAAATTTAAAAAAAATTCAATAAAGCTGGGCAGCACGCCAAGTGATAACCGAGACAGCATAGAAATATGTAGTAAAATAGTATAGCGAAAGAAATACATATATAAAAGACGTTAGATTATGTATTCAAAATATATACATCTAAAATATCAATTATCAATTACAAGGCAGTAATTAATAAAATTAAAAAACATATATATATTAATTAATAAAAGCACACAGAAGAGCAAAGAAAAAATGTACGCATTGCAACACACGCTGTTATTTGAATTATTAATGTTAACTGTAAATGTACTTAAATGGCTTATGGCATGAAAAAATAAAAACCGAAACGCATACATACATAAAAGTGTGAAAAATTAGTAATAAATAAAGTATAAAGCTTACTTAGTAAAAGATTAAATGCAGCTAGAAATAAATATACGCAGTTAAAAATACAGTAGCTCACTAACGCACATACATACATGTATAAAAATGTATGTGTGAATTAGAGAGACACTGTAGCATTACATACTATCCACTAGAAAATGTAGCCAACATATGTGTACGTCATTTAATTTTAATTTTAACAAATTTTACTTAATTTTTTTTTAATTTCTCTTATAGTACACTTGCCTTTCTCGCTTAATTTTCTGTTAAAAACATGCATAAAACTAATAAAAATGATTGGAAATATAAGAAAGTTATTAAAAAATTAATAAATCAATTAAAATGTAACTAAAAAATATTAATAAATAATTAAAAAATAATTAAAGATAGTTAAAAAAATTAATAAAACAATTGAAAAAAATTATTACAAAATTAAAAAGTAATTAAAAACAATTAAAGATAATTAAAAAATAGTTGAAAATATTAAAAAAAATATTTAAAGATAATTAAAAAATAAATAAAAATATTAAAAAGTAATTAAAAAATAATTAAAAAATAATTAAAATTAATTAAAAAATTATTGAAAATATTTAAATACATTTGAAAAATAATTAAAAAGTAATTAAAAATATCAAATAACAATTAAAGATAATTAAAATAACAATTGAAAATATTGACAAATTATCGAAAATAATTGAAAATACTAAAAATTTATTTTAAAAATTTATAAAATTAATTAATTAATTTAAATTAATTAAAAGCATCAAAAAACAATTACTAAAAATTTATAAAAATTATGAAATTAATTTAATTTGTACAAATTGTATTATACTATCTTTAAAACTTAAAAACAAAAATATTAGTTTTACGCTACTGCATATTGTTATCGTATTTAGTTGTATGTACGTATGTATATGTAAGCATGTAAAACTTGAAGCAGTCGAAACAGTAAACTACTACAATGTATGTACGATTTGTTTATACATATATACAACTAAACTATGAATAAAAATATTTACTTAAAAAGAATAAAAAAAAAAACACAACCCTGCATATTTACTTGAAATGTAATTGAAGAGTAAAAACAAAAACAAAAAAAGTAAATAAATGAAATAATGCTTTAACTCAAAAGTTTTTATTAGTAAAACACAATGCATTGTTATATAACATAATAAGTGTCTACCATAAATAAACCAATCACAACACCACCAGCAACAGCAACAGCAGGCGCAGCAAATTTTACCTTTGAAAGCACCGATTTTTTCCCATTTATATTATATATTTGTATACCTATATACATACATATAGTATATACATATATAGTTATGTAATACAAAGTAAATAAGAATCAAAAAGCCACTACAAAAGGGATTTAACATACCATTAAATGCTACAAAAATTAAAATTTTTGAAAAAGTCTACAAAAATATTGAGCTAAAAATTTCATTAGAAGCAAAATGTTGGAGCATTGATGATATAGAGCAAAATGGTGGACGATTGGCTTAGCAAATTAATAATGTCGATTTTACGCTGATTTTTGGAGAGGTATGAAAGATTACGCGAATAAACGGACTTATAGCAGGAATTGAAGAGCCGAAACGGAATGACAAACTTTATTTATTAAAATTATTATTTTATTTTTGGAAAAAATTTATTATTTAAAATCTAAATTATTTTTTTTTTTGGAAAAATTAAAAAAAAATATTTTTTTTTTTAACAAAATTAATTTTTTTGTTTTGAAATATTTTATTTACTTTTTTGGGGTGCACCTGGGTGCTTCTGCCACGCTTAAGAGATACCTTTTTAGTTAAAAAAACGTTCGTTTAGGAAGAAATGTTTTTGAAACGGCTTCTCTAAGTCTAAAAATACATCTCTAACAGCTACTATACAATGCTTACCAAACATAGATAAAAAAGACTCGACAGTTAGCGCATTAAGGGCCAAAAGCTCTCAGATCCATTGAAATTAAGAAGTTCTCGAGGAACTTTTACAAATTATTTTTAAATATAGAGTGTTTCAGTATGCATTCTGAGTAGGAACCGTGAACCCAACTCATGACCATTGTTGAATAGACTCGTGAAATCGAAAATATACCCCAGAAAATATAATTAGCTATGGAGCTCAATGTCTATAAACACATACATATAAAGGGTTTTCCAATAAGAGTGATATGATTAAGTCGGATGTCATGAATAACACGTTCAATATTGACTTCTAAAGCTTGAAGAGAGTCTGGTTTATTGCTAAAGACCAATGACTTCAAATAACTCCACATGAAGTAGTCCAATGGTGTTAAGTCACAACTTCTTGGAAGCCATTCAATGTTACAATTTCTTGAAGTTATCGAATCTCGAAACTTTTCTCGCAATAATTCGGTTATTGCACGTGCTGTATGGCACGTAACGCCATCTTGTTGAAATCCGATGTTGTCAAGATCAACTTATTCCAATTGCGGCTATATAAAGTTGGTTAGCATAGATCTATACCGCTCTCCATTGACAATAACGGTGTCACCAGCTTAATTTCGAAAGAAGTATGGACCGATGATTCATTCCACCAGACCAAAAACCACACCAAACTGTCAATTTAGGTGAATGTAATGGTCATTCATGAATAATTTGTAGAAACGACACTTATTAATCATATCATCCCTATTGGAAAACCCGATATATATAATATATATATATACATATATACAATATAACTCACTCTCTTCCTTGCCTTTTAAATAAACTCTCAACCTAGCTCGCAAAAATTAATATCAGATTTGGAGCGAATATATAATTCAACGTGTGGAAGGGAATCGAAACTTATTTTGTTAGAAACAGTTCTATTGAAGAATTCTCCACTTTTCGATGTTAACAGTTTTCTGAATATATATTTACATATATATTGTATGTACGTAAATCATTTAATTTTTGTTAAGTATTATTTATTATTTAATGACTTGATAAAAAAAAAGTCTTGAATTACTTCTTCCTTACCTTCTCTCATTACTAAGTCCCTTTAATCCTAGCAAAAAATCGGTTAGAGCACTACGGCGAGTGGTTCTTAAAGCAGTTAAGGGTAATTGGAATGCAAAGGCAACTATTTATTAATATTATTGTATATGTATGTATAACTAACTAACTGACTATATACTATATATATATAGATACTGATCGATCATGCATATCGCTAAGTTCACCTCTGCAAGCGGGAACAAATATATACACTTGGATATAAATAAATAAAATATACTACTTTCTAAGATTTTAATGCAGCATTTGAAATTGTTACAAACTAAAAAATACATACATACATACAAAATAAAAAAAAAACTATATATAAATTGCCAAAAATAAGGCGATTGTCTAGAATTTTCTTGTTGGATCAAAGGTGAGTTTATTTGCTTGAATTAGCTTCTAGGGCCCATTTGATGTGGTCTAAAATTCATCTTCCCCACATAAACCAAAGTATTTCAACTTGAGGTTGTTTCCAAACATTTTAACCTTTTTTTTAGTGCCGAAATACTGCGATAATAGAGAAAATAAACCCACAGAATATGTAGAACAAAAAGACTAAATAATATCCACAAATGTGTGAGACAGACTTAAAACGGTATAATCAGTTTTTTTTGTTGTTATTAGAGATATATTCTTGACAAAAATTATACGGAAAAGCTGTTTATTTAGTCTAATAACTAAATTCTACATTAATAGAAAACCTAAAGAAATAAATTATTTACCCAATCGATGGTTTTAATAAAGGGCATCTGGCGTTGTATAAGCGCGATCGGTTTTGCATATGGTATTAGAAAGACCGATTTTGTACTAAAAACACTTCTTAGACAGTTTCGTAATTGCTTTACTCAATCTTGTTTCAACAAGACCAGATGGACACCAGTCATATTTTACAGTTTTTCTTTGATAAAGGCGAAAAGGATGCCAGTCTGCCGAAAATATGATACGATAAGATGCACCACGCCCTGAAAGGTTAATTGTTGTAAAAACCATTTAAATCAGGATACAAAAAGAAGCCAGAAAGGTGTCAATAAGTTAACGCAAAAATAAGAACCCATGGACCGAATTTCCATCTGCGAATCGCTACTGAATAACAAAAAATCGATACATATCTGAAGCTGACGATCATCTGCTATGACCTGCCTCCTAGGCCAAACTTCTAATTCGTACCAACACAGTCGACTATTGGACCGTCTGAAGGAAGTATTAACTAGAAGCGGCCAGCTATAGAAGAGAAATTGTGTTCATCAGACCCGCCAAGGCCACAACAACGATAGTAGATAGATAGATTAGTTTCGAGGTATGCACCGGACCTATGGTCTATTGTGCCCTCCCTAAGTCATATCGTATCATCTAGCCAGCATTGTATATAATTCAAAATCTGCTGGGTGCTAATGAGGCGATACGATCCCTGTGTGGAAACATGGATCCCAGGGCCTGATTCTGCGTCTGCAGACTGCTGTGCAGTTCATCAGCAGATGCTCAGGGGTTCCGGCTCTATGTGCAGAACGGCAGTTTGCAGAAGGCTATGCCCTGTTAAAGAGGTGCTTCTTGAGCCTGCAATGGCCGGTGTGAACGCTGCCAGTAGCCGGAATTTGTTTCTGGGAGATTAATTATGGCTTTAAACCGCTTGAGGTCGTAACCCCCAATAGCAGTCTGGCATGGTGCATGCCCTGAAGTTGTTGCCAATGTATCTCCTGCTTGCTCTTTCCTCCTTCGAGAGGAGCTCTTTGATGGTATGAGGACCAACCGCTATGTATGGTTCCGGCCTACCATTTTTGTAGAGGCTGCAGAGCGGGCTAATTCGTCAGCTAGTTCGTTCCCAGCTATACCCCTATGCCAGGCACCCAAATAAGGGTACTCGGTTTTGCTTAGATAGGCTGTTCAGCCGTTCTATACACTCCATCACTAGGAGAGATCTGACCTCGTAGGCTGAGATCGCTTAGTGCGCCTGACTATCGCTGAGTATAGCGATACTCTTATTGCGATAGTTGCGTTGGAGGTTTATCCCTACACACCGACTTATAGCATAGACCTCAGCTTGGAAAATGCTTGGGAAACTTCCCATGGGAATGGAGAGTTTGGTGCTGGCCCAGCGACCCTCGCACCAATCCTCTCCTCGTTTCGACCCGTCGGTGTACCACTTGATGGTGCTACCCCTTAGCAGCCGGTCCAGTGAAGAGTCATTCCACTCAGATTTGCTGCCAAGGGTTACTTGAAACTTTCTGCTGAAGTTTACTATCTTGGTAATGCTACCCTTGGGAGAAGGGCTAGTGGTATTCCTCACTTAGCTCTTTCATCTGTTGGGATGAGATTACCTTCCTTGCCAGCTCCCTCTGCTGTCATTTGGAGCAGAGTTCGTTTGGCAGTCTGTTGATTACCAGGTGTAGCGGTGAAAGTTCTAGCATGACTTCCAGTGCTGCGGTCGGACACGTTCGCATTGCTCCGACCGCAGATGCAGGCAGTCTTGCAGCTTCGACAGTTTAAGTCCTACGAAGTCTGCGATGCTCGACACCCACGATACCGCTCCATACGTGATAATCGGTCTCACGATCATGGTGTACATCCACCTGATAGTCCTTGGGAGCACCCCAGGATTCCCAGCAAGTCGGTTGCACACCATGAGTGCCTGTAGCTTGTAAGGTCTGGTTCACATGCTGATTCCATCGTAGTGTGAATCCAGTGTGAGCCAGGTACACAACGATAGTAACTCGCTAGAAGTTCCGTTAGCTTGGTTGGAGGTTTTATGCGTCCACTTTATAGCTTAGACCTGCATCTTAACTTTATCGAATGTTTTTTATTGGTAAAGCTTCGCCTCAGGAAAAGCATTATGAAAATCTACTGTCCCAGTTTTTAGCAACAGGGACAGGTTATAAAATTACCTTAAAATTAGAACAAGTTATGACAAACGGTGCATATTTGACCTAAATCGGATTGTTGTAACTACACTAAATGGAACCTTCAATCTGATGTACAATAATGAATTGCTAATCGTCATTAATATTAAGTTTCTCGACTTAGGTAAAACTTCAAAAACCTGAATTTGAGGACCAATAATTTTGAAGTGAAGGCCTTAGGTCGACGAAGTAAAATAAAGACAGTTTAAAAATCTAGTTTCCAGC